AAGCCCCAAGTAGGTTGCTGCCCTTCCTCTGTACTGTCCTCTCAGTCAAAGCAGCCTGGTTTCAGGGTCTCCCAACCCCCAACTCTTCTCCAAAGACCTACCCAAACTTACAAAAACCCTCGCATAGCTCCACGTAATGAAAGCAGAGTCAGCTTGCTGTCAGTGCAAGGGGAAAACAGGAAGGAACAGAGAAGGAGTGGTCCCTGCATCCTCAGTGTATAAATAAAGAATTCTACCAAGCTTTGCCACTTGTTGAAGAGGCAGCTCCAGACCAAAATCAATGACCAGGTTATTGCAGTACAACAAACACCTTGCAGTGGTAAGAGAAGGATCATCAGATTCCTTGGCTGAATTCCTCATTGGRGCAGGAGCACCTGGATGGGCAGCTTATGTTTAAGAAGGCAAACAATTCAGAAGCACCAAGGTATATCTGCAGTGGATGTCACAACAGAAATATGGATGACACACTTTCAGAATGCCACTTTCTTCAGATGAGAATGGTCTGACCCTCAAACAATCATGGTGGCAGTCAGGAACGAGGTTCCTTTCTCCTCCAAAATGGAGTAGATTGTGCTTCCAAAGCTGTAGGGAGTGTTAACAGCYTGCATGGGAGAAAAMYGCCACGTCCTTGGCTGTCYTGAGAAAAAGAAGATTGGAATGTAGAATTGATAATGGAGGTGGCTTACAATTATAAACTTTACTAATACTGTAGCTTTTGCAAACCTACCAATCCTAYGCTGATGAGTAGAAAGTGACAGCCTCACTAACCAATGTATGTTTGACACAAATATATGCACTGGTTGCTAAAGTGGATAAAAGAGGCCTGTCCCAGAATAAAGGGGTTACTTTTTGTGTGTGTATATGTGTGTCTTTGTGTCTGTTATTTTGTGTCGGCTGTCTGGCCAACAGCGACACGAAGCTGWGGGTTTCCTGTCAGAGAATCACAGAATCATTCAGGTTGGAAACAACCTCCAAGACCATCAAGCCCAACCATTCCCCCAGCAGTGCCAAGGACGCCACTAACCCATGGCCCCAAGTGCCACATCCACACTGCCTTTAAATCTCTCCAGGGATGGGGATGCCACCACTGCCCTGGGCAGCTGTGCCAGGGCTGGACAAGCCTTTCCATGAAGAAATTTTCCCTAATATTCAGTCTAAACTTCCTCTAGCCCAGCCTGAAGCCATTCCCTCTCCTCCTGTCCCTGTTCCCTGGAGCAGAGCCCGACCCCCCCGGCTGTCCCCTCCTGTCAGGGAGTTGTGCAGAGCCACAAGGTCCCCCGGAGCCTCCTTTGCTCCAGGCTGAGCCCCTTTCCCAGCTCCCTCAGCCATCCAAGGATCTACAGGTGGACTGAGCTGTATCATACCCTGCTTCATGCAGGCTGGACCTAAGCCAGAGTGAGAGTGCCTTCATCCTGTCAAGAGCCCCATGCGTGCTCTGGTGCCACCCCTCCGGCATCTGGGCTCAGGGAAATCCCTACAGGGCCTTGAAGGCTTTGGGAGCTGGGATGGAGAACAGATGCAGACATGCTGAAACAACCATGACACACTTGCTGAGAGGGAGCACCAGGAGCGAACTGGAGAGCTTTTACAATGTGAGTCACTCGCCGAGCCCCATCTCATGGCATGCTAAGCAGTGTGAATCAAAGACTGAAAATGCAGGGCATGTCTTGCCCTACAGAAACACCATCAACCACTTTACTTTTTAAGTAATGATTTGCTATTGATTATGTGCATGAAGATGAGGTAGCTCCCTACCTCTCCTGCCAATTTCCACACTCAATTACATTACAAGCGGGTGCCAGAGTTGAGCCATTTCTAACAGAGCTGAGTTACTGCTCTCAGGAGGGGATAAACTTGATGCATCAGAAATCTCTTGGGAAATTCCTGAGAGTACTCAGTACTCAGTACTGAGTTGACCACAGACCTCTATAAGTACAAGTGGAACAAAGATGGCCRTAATAGAGGGGTGCCCACATCTTCCTGATCCTACAAGCCGAGCCCAACAGACACAAGACAGCCAAGTGTGCCTTGGTAAGCTAGGCAGGCAATGTGGTCTAGGATCAGTATGCTTAGGCAACATGTTTCCCAGGTGCTGTGGAGCATTCAGGTTCAATGATCCTTCCTGCCATGCTAAGGCAAGCCAAGAGCTCAGGGTGACCACAGCACAGGCTGGGATGTAGTCCCGCTGGGTCTCAAGAGGATTGTCAGGGCCAAGTGCTGGTAAAAAGGAACACCCAAGCATCCCAGGCAAGGTGAGGGCATGAACTGGGTCCAGGATCCACTTGGGAACAGCAGGAATGGGACTGCAAACAAGGTTACAAMAGGGGTGTGATGCTCATCCAAGACACAGGACCCCAGGCATGACTATAACCAAGTACCTGAACAACACAGCTCAGGAAAAATGTCCAGAGCTTAATTAGAGCCTATGGACTAATGAGTGGAAGGTGCATGGATTAATGCATTCAGGACCCTGAAAAACAACTAAATGCAAAGTGGAGCAGGAAAAGCTATGTTTCTATTCAATCCATTTCCAACCTCAGGGTGAGGTCTTCCCTGGTTTCATCCCATCCCAAGTTTGTCTGAGGCTGGGCAGGAGGAGAAAAGAAGCACAAGCAGATACAAGCATCATTTTCTGCCTCGTGACACCTCCATCCAAAGCTCCCAGCCCTCACAGCCTCTCGCCTGCTGTGCTGGTGAGTGTTTGTCAGACAAAGGCATGAGGGAATCCCAAGCACACGTCAGTCTTGTTCACTCACACTCTCCAAGGTGCTTTTGGCTGCAGTGGGTTCGGATGCTCGATTCCACCTCAGAGGGTTTTTGAAGGCAGGAAGTGCAGAGGGGAGATCCGGAGGCAGCATCACGTTGCTCCTGTCAGTGTGTTCTACACAACCTTGTTGTTTCAAAAATAATCAGGTGCTAAGTGTGGATCTAGAGAACGAGATAAAGCTCAGAAGTGTTTCCTAGGAGGCAGAGAGGTGGCAGAAAATCCCCACTGTMCCTCATGGAGAACTTTGTAGCTGGATGGCATCCTTCCTCTGGATGAAAAAAATCCCAAATCCTCCCTCTGCTTTTTGTTAGGAACACACATTCCTCCACCAGAAAACTCACAGCAGCTGCTCCTACCGTTCCTAATTTAAACCTTCCCTTTAAATTTAAAAACACATCACTAGTAAAGGWTTTTGACTGAAATTGGGAAGTTTTGACTAATTAAGGCACTCAGAGTCAGATCCCAGATTGAATCAGCTGTTAGCAATGGTTTTACWGGGTATTAGAGCAGAGATCCCAGCCTGGATTGCTGTGCCAGGTTCTTCTACCTGAAACAGATGGATTGCAGAACAACAGCCCCTAAAAGAACATCTTGAAATGGTGTTTCACTGAAAACATTTGATGAGAATCCTAAAAAACAGAGTGCAAATGCGCTGGAAATGTTCTAAAGGCACACAGGGAGGTTTTCCCTGAGTAGCTGATATTGAGGGTGAAGCCTCAACTGCTTAGAGTTTAAGCTGACAATGTTCTTCCGTGACTCAGCATCGTGCTGACTGCATTCAGGGACCCAGAGGGAAAGCACGGAAGCCTGATGACAGAGTAGGATACCAGATGAAATAAAAACAAATTGTGATTGTTGGCTAGGTCCGACTTGAAAAAAAAAAGGCAAGTCCAGAATCCCAAATTCCCAAAACACCCTGCCAAAGAAAACTATTAAAATCTAAAAAATGATGTCCAGTTTTAAGACTAATATGATCAAACGTATAAAGTGGAGTTTCTTGCTACCCAAATTTAATGGATTTCCTGGATTTAGGTGCATGCTTTGCCTCTTTTCTCTGCAGATCATATTTTCTTCCCTCASAKCTCAACCCTCAAAAGGCTGAGGAGYGATAAGGGATCATCTGCAGGTTTTGTCAGGTTGGCTTAAGAGATGGTGTTTACGTAGCAACACACAGGGCAGGTGGCACCTGAAGCTTGTGATACACGACATGAACATGGAAACCAAACACCTCAAGAAGCATTCTTTCTCACTGGAGAACGCAGATGCTAAGGCTATTAGGACAGGGGTGCAGAGAGAATCCAGAGGTGCAGGATCCCTGCAGGAACAGGGCAATGCCAGCAGCTGTGCCCTGCTCCACCACGGGAAGGGCTGGGGGTCTCGCAGCATGACTATGAAGCTAGAGCATCACTGTGATCCATATATTGTCTCTTTTAACTCCCATGTAAGGGTTTACTTGTCTAGAATTATCAAGAAGTGCAGGACATGAGAGGTGGGGCCATGGGAACCTTTGAGGTTTAACAAGATCAAGAGCTGAAGCAGCCACCTGAGGCACGGTGACCTCCGCGATCAATCCAGGCTGATGATGAAGATGGCACAACCCTGGGGAGAAGAACTTGGGGGTGCTGCTGGCGAGGCCCTGGCACAGGCTGCCCAGAGGAGCTGCGGCTGCCCTAACCCTGGGAGTGTCCAGGACCAGACAGGACGGGAACCTGAGCCAGTGGAAGGAGTACCTGTCCATGACAGTGAGAAGGACTGGAGGGTCTGTCGGGCTCCTTCCCATGCAGACCGTTCGGTGCCGGAGCCGTTCACCCCTCACGCCGCCCGATCCGCACCCGAGGGCAGCGGGCGGCGCTCTGAGCCCGGGGCGGCGCCTCCTCCTCTCTCCCCTCAGGCGATCCCGCCCCCCGCCGGCTCCGATTGGCTGATTCTCCCCGCCGAGCGCTCCCATTGGCCGCGCCGCCCGCCCGTCCGCCGCGGTTTGTTTGGTCGCGTGGACCTGTCAAACCCGCCGGGGGGGGGGGCGCGGGGAGCGGGGGGGGAAGACAGAGCGCAGGGTGGGGCGCCCCCCCCCGGCGGCCCCACGTGGCAGCGCCCGGCGCCCCGACGGGGCGGGAAGAGCCCCCTCATCCCCCCCGGTCCGTGAGGCGCCCCCGGCGCGGGAGCGAGCGGGGCCGGCGACATCCGGGCCCTTGGCTCGCCACCGCCGCCGAGCCGCCCGCAGCCGCGGGCCAGCGCCGCCGGACGGGGCGGGTGGTGCCGCGCTGCCCGTCGCGGTGCTGTGTCCGTCGCCATCCCCCGCCGCTGCCCCCTCGAGGTGCGCGGAGCTGCCCCGCCCCGCCCCGTCCCGTCCCATCCCGTCCCACGGCGGGGGCGATGCTCCCCCCGCTGCGCTGCCCGCGGATCTCTCCCTTCTGATTCGTTTTAGACGGTAAGTTCTGATTTTATTTATTTATTTTTTTTCCTATTTTATTCGCTATTTTAAAATAATGCTCTATTCCCTCCCTGCCGGGAATCCCGGGTGGGAGCTGCTGCTTTSACCGACGGGGGTGGACCGCGGGGTCGTTCCATCCCCAGCCCCTCCAGGACCCTCCTGCGGGGGGAGGTGGCGGCGGCAGCCCCCCCTCCTTCCCCTCCCTTTCCGTCCTTCCCCTCCCCTCCCCTCCCGTCCCTCCCTCCGTCCCTCCCGGTGCCCGGGGACGGTGCCCGGTTCTCCCGGTGGGTCCCCGAGCTGCGGCAGCATCGCGCAGAGGCAGCACCGCTGTCACCGGCGCTCCTGGSTCCCAGGTCGGATATTCCCCCGTTCGTCTTCTCGAGCGGTCGTTAATTTTTATTTATGATTTATTGTTACTAATTTATAATTTTTTTTGGTTGATTACCGTTAGTAATTTTTATCATTTTCCCCCCGGATCGGAGCAAAACTTTCCCCCGAGTTGCTGCTGCCGGCGGTGGCTCGCGGTGCCGCCGATGCGGTCCCGCTCCGCGAAGCGCTCCCTGACGTTTAGGATCAACTTATAGGATCGGCTTTTCCTTGCAGCGAGGGACGGGATGCTCGGGCTGATCCCGTCCCGTCCCGTCCCATCCCATCCTATGATCCCACCGTTTTTCCTCTGCCCCTCTCAGCTGGGAAGGGACCCGTCGGCTCGGGTTGCTGAAGAGCCCTCGGTGKGTTTTTATCCCGGTTTTTACCCAGCTGCTGATTTTACCCGTGCCCGTGAGATCTGGGAGGCGGCTGTGGCACCTCGGGTGAGGCGCTGTCCCCGCTGATGCCGAAGAGCCTCACGCTGTGTCACTGTGTCCCTTAGGTTTGCCTGGAGCGGGATCGTCCCCTCGCACAGCCCTGCATCCCGGCGGCAGCACCGAGCCTCGGCGATGCGGTACGTCTGTCTGCTGCTGCGGGCTGGAGCGGGGCTGCCCGGAGCAGCGGGGTGGGGGAAGCTGTCTGTGTGCCCCGGGCTGTGGGGTTGGGGACGGGGACCTGGAGGAGAGTGTCCCTGGGATGGACAGAGCCCGGGTGTGGAGAGTGTGGGATGAGCATCCTGGGATGAGCATGGTGTGGGGTGAGCATCCCTGGGATGAGCACTGTGTGGGGTGAGCATCCCTGGGACAAGCACGGTGTGGGATGAGCGCCCTGGGATGGACATCCCTGGGACAGCCCGGGTATGGAGAGTGTGAGGTTAGCATCCCTGGGATGGACACAGTGTGGGGTGAGCATCCCTGGGATGGACACAGTGTGGGGTGAGCATCCCTGGGATGAACACAGTGTGGGGTGAGCATCCCTGGGATCAGCACGGTGTGGGGTGAGCATGCCTGGGATGAGTACGGTGTGGGGTGAGCATCTTTGGGACGAGCACAGTGTGGGGTGAGCCTCCCTGGGATGAGCACGGTGTGGGGTGAGCATGCCTGGGATGAGTACGGTGTGGGGTGAGCATGCCTGGGATGAGCATGGTATGGGGTGAGCATCCCTGGAATGAGGACACTGTGGGGTGAGCATCCCTGGGATGAGGATGGTATGGGGTGAGCACCCCTGGGATGTGCTTAGTGAGGGATGAGCATCTCTGGGATGCGCTAAACCCAGGCTCGGGGAGTGTGGGGTGATAATTTGTGGGATATGCTTAGTGTGGGGTGATCAAACTGGGAATATGTTAAGTATGGGGTATTCAGATCATCCCTGGGATATGCCCAGTGTGGGGTGATCATTTCTGGGATGTGCTCAGTCCCAGTGTGGGGAGTGTAGGATGATCATCCTTGGGATATACTCAGTAGGGGGTGATCATCCTGGGATGTGCCCAATGTGGGGTGATTATTTCTGGGATGTGTTCAGTCCTGGGATGGGGAATATGGGGGGATAATTTCTGGGATATGCTCAGTGTGGGGGGATAATTTCTGGGGTTTGCTCAGTGTGGGGGATCATTTCTGGGGTTTGCTCAGTGTGGGGGAAT